CATGGGAACAAATCTCTGTTATTCTGCCAATCTCAAGCATTTCTCCCCTGAATCCCACTGCCTTGTGGGATGAGATAATGGATAATCAAATGTTTGTGGGCAACTGTCTTCAATTGTCTCTCATGATCATCATGAGCAAATTTAATGCCAAATGTTTGTGGGCAACTGTCTTCAATTGTCTCTCATGATCATCATGAGTAAATTTAATGCGTTGCATTCAATCAATGGAACTCCTTGGGAGAATCCTTGAGATTTAAAAAGTCACTATTATTTGTAAACTTTAGAACCTGGAGCAACACTGAACTCTTGATCACTCTTTAGGAGTTCTAATACTGACAGTTCTTCACTTGATGCATTCCAAACTTTAGAAACTGGAGCAACACTGAACTCTTGACCACTCTTTAGGACTTCTAATACTGACAGTTCTTTACTCGATGCATTCCTGAAAATGACTGTCCACTTCTGGAGAACTTTCTTCAGCTTTAGTTAGTAACTCTGTAGTCACTTTGAATGAAATACTTTTTAAGCTAGACTGGAAATATTGGTCAGTGTTTGCTCAGTGTGCTTTAGCCCTTGAATATAGTAACATCAGCTCTTGATTACAGGGCACAGCAGGTTAGCTCCAGGTCTCAGTACTAGAAACACCCAGCTACATATGAAGTTCTAGGCTACCCTGGAATTTTCAGCTTCAAAATACCTACACCAAACAAAACAACAAAATCAGGAATACTAAGATGACATGAGAGACTGAAGATCCTGGGTAAGGTTGTGTCCTGATGGGGGTGAATACCTTACCCCTTCAGATCAACCATAAGTGTTCAAATACCAATAGGTTCTGATAGTCACTTTGGTATCCAACAACCAGTATCTAAACTGGCCATTTTAACCCTTATATCCCCTGTACTTCTCACACCTTCCCATATAACCACATCTCTCAGCCAAAAGCTGCCATCTGACTGGATAACTGAGCATCTTCCCATCCAATCCTACTTGGACATTTACATCTAGGCTTTGAGTGAATCAGATGTGGGTAAGTATGAGATCCCAGATTGTAGTCAAGTCCCAAATGCCTCTAACACTTCTCTACAATATCACAGCTCTGGGACTCGCTGTCTTGCTTACAGTCATGCATTTTAAATTTCATATAAAGTCTATGTAACTCAGGCCAATATGAAATAATTATGAAACCTGAGCTACCCTGAAGTCTCAGTAATCCTCCTGCCTGAGAGTAGTTGAATTGTATCTGACCTGTTTGATTAGATCTGTTATGAGGAAAGAGAATGAACTGAGACTATGGTGACAGTAAAAACCCATTCCCCAAGTCACCTCAAAACACTAAGGATTTGTCTGTGTATTGTTAATTGATTAATTTTGTTTGTCTTTTATGGAATCATAGTCATGGTGTTTGGAATATACATCTGGGTTTTAGTGATCATCCTACCTTCATGGAAGAACATCTAAACAGAGCATGCTCAGGTGGATTAGATACACTTTCAGGAAAGAGAAGGAACTGAGATCCTGGTGAAAATTAGGACTTCTTATCTATTGTTCTTTGGAATATGTAACAGCTCTACAGTCCTGGAACTAGTTCTGAAGACCAGGCTGGCAGGGTGCTTGGAGGTTTTCCTCCCTCTACCTTCTGAGTGCTTGGATTAATGTTGTGTGTAGCAAGATACGTAACAGACTGAGAAACAAATATTGGGGTTCAACCTAGGGCTGAAGTAAAGAGAGGCAAAGCAGCCAAGCCACTATCTCTTACTTCTACCTCAGGCTGAATGGGCTGATCCAGACTCCATGCAGTCTCACCAAGCCTCAGGTGGCTGACTCTCATCACTGTAGCTGGAGAATGATCCTGAGACTGACTAATGAAGATCCTGTTTCTATCTTTTATACCTCTCTAGTACGTGGATGAAAGGTACGACATCTGTTATTCTTTTAGACTGATTCAAACTTAGACAGCCCTGAAGTCAGAGAGATCCATCTGCTTTTGAGTCCCATCCTGTGTACTGGGATTAAAGTTTGCCTGGCTTATATGTCTAAGTGGTATGGCTGCTCTGCTACTTTGATCTCTAATGGCTTTAATAACTGAAAAATATTTCACCACATGCATGTGACACCACCACATGGATAAATTAATTTTTTTCTTTTCTTTTTGATTTTTTTTTGAGACAGGGTTTCTCTGTGGCTTTTGAGGCTATCCTGGATCTAGGTCTGGTAGACCAGGTTGGTCTCGAACTCACAAAGATCCACCTGCCTCTCCCTCCCGGAGTGCTGGGAATAAAGGCTAGAACCACCACCACCACCACCACCAGGGTTTTGTTTTTTGGGTTTGTTTTTGAGACATGTTTTTTCCATGCAGCTTTGGAGCCTATCCTGACCTTGAATTCATTGATATCCCCCATGTCTATCTCCCAAAGGCTGGGATTAAAGGCATGTACCTCTACCATTCAGCTAAATTACCACTTCCTATATGCTTGTTTGCTGTGCTGTGTACAGACTGATGATTTTGTGGCCTCACTTGTCTCCATAATATGGTCAGCTATGCCTAGATCTGGGAAACTCCCAATTCTGATGATCCATGAAGTGGCCATTACTCAGGAGGATGAGCAAGAACAATGTCAACACCTACCTGGAAATCAGAGTGCACTTAATGTCACTATCAGAAATCTAGGAAAGATGGTGTCCCAAGGGAAATGGGAAGTGATCTTTGAGCCAGGCATGCAGTCACTGGCCTGGGAAGTGCATAAGGGCGATCAGATCTCTCCATACATGAAAGACAATGACCTGAGATGGGTAGAAGGCAAAGTCTCTAATCCACAGTGTTGGTATTAAAGGTGAGAACCACCACACTGGACTTTGTGTATGTTTGAGACTTGTCAAAAATAGGAAAGGCTGTTCTTGAAATCCAGATCGTTCTGGCTTTACAAAGATTCTTAGGCCCATTTTGGAATTCTAGATAGAATCTGCTCTGTAATTCACACCCTTAGCAATCCTTTCAATAAAGCTTCACTGAATAGGGTTTTGTTATTCTTTGAATTATAATTTCCCTGAACTGTAGCTTACAAGTTGTTCTGGGATCTGCTATTAGCTTTCTGATAACCAGCTCCATGTTGTAGCTGAGCTGAGAACTAATCTTCAGCAATGTGCTTGCTTCAGCCTTGACTATTTATTGACATTGTCTTGGAGTGACATTTAAAAAATTAAAGATCCAAGAAGCACATACAAGACACTCCTGGGCACTAGAATTAAGGTCCTAAGCATAGAAAATTACAGACCCTGGACAGACATCTCTTCCTGAAGAGCTGTTGTGACTACCTTAATTTAAACAAAAACAGATGGCCTGGGAATGTGGCTCAAACTCAGAACACTTGTATATTGCGCTCAAAACCCCACAACAAAAGCACTTATATCAAAATGTAACATATCTTATTTGATCCCCTGTCCTGAAATCACCTGAAGCACACTACAGAGACCAGACTGCCTGGATCCTTTTACTCTCACCATAATGTTCTGCCAATACAGGCTTCTGTCACCATGCAAGGGGCAA